GCCTGCACGGCAGCCGAGGCAATAATATGAGACCAGTTGTTAAAACTATCGAAATAAGGTGCAATGGGTTTACTATTACTATTTGATATGCTAGTTAGTTGAGTAATTTTTACGTTAGGATGTTTCCGATATTGTTAATTTTGAAACTGTTTAACTCATTTAGGAATCTTAAGGCCATAAAGAATACAAATAAAAAAATTTAGTTTAGAGGTCTACATACATAGAACTTCAAAAATTGTCTTAATAGCAATGCTATTAGTTTATAGGAAGTAATTTAGAAGTGAATCGCATTAAATTTTTTTGTGTCATTTCATTTTGTGTGGTGAGATTCATTACATGACTGACATCAGTCTTTTGCTATTATCTTTAAATCTGCCAAACTGAAACATTGTGCGACAAAATATTTTGTTGGGAGATTGAAGCCTTGCCTTGGACATTCATACATGCCAAATTTCGTGAAGATATATTGTCAGTTAAAAAAGTTTTCTATAGAAAGGCCTGATATTGATCGTGCTATTTGATCATTTAATATGTACTTTATAGGATCTGCAACGTTGCCTTTTGTGTGTTACAAACTTCGGTACAAACATAATATATTATACTCAAAAATATCCAAAAATATTTTAAACAAAGTTCGCTTATAAAAAAGACGACCAACGCTAATGCACGTAGTAATAAAAAAAGACCTTAGTGCTCATTGCATATTAGCCATATGCGCTCGGGCAGTAATTACTGCCTGGCAGTTGCATGTAAAATTATAAGTTGTATGCCACTACTTCCAATGCACTCAAGCGCTTTTACATAAATATTTTATAAAATTGGGATTTTTTGCATTCAAACATAAAAAATGCAACGATAATAACAAAAGACACACGCCTGTAGCATGGATAAACAGTGCGTGCTGCAACTTCAACATCAGCAACTCAATGCTAATTGTTGGCTTGCTATACAACAAAAATTAGTACACAGCACAGCACAGAATGTCTACAGGGAAGAAAACAGCAACAACAAAAAGTATTTAAGACAGATGACTATAGAATTATAAAATGAGCTGATGATTACCCTAACAATATGGTGTTATGAAGTAAGAAGCGAGCAGAAAATAATTAGTTTTGATATTATCATAATATTACTCCATTGCAACTATAAAGAAATTTATAGATTTTTATTGAAATATGCATTAGAGTAGAAACTCAAGAGTATTGCTTTTAGATTGTTTACAAGTAACTTAAGTTAAAACCGATTTTAGTATAGCGAAGATAGCATATGAATTTTCTGATAAGACGAGCTTTTGAGTCTCTCAGAGTTTACTTAGATCCTATCTTATGAAAACCGATAGGTACTCATTAAAAAATTACACGACTTCCAGCAGAACCAATAATCTGTAATGACCCTACTTGAAAAGAGATCTAGCTTAATAGTGTAGCAGTCAGTACGTGGTAAAAAGCTGGTAGGAGTAATCATATAAAAGCGATGGTTCCGTTCCGAAGGTAGGCTGAAAACTACATGAAGATATTTTGTCAAACAAAAAAATTTTTAAGAAAGTTGCTTAGATCTTTAAAAATTAATAGTGTTATTGATAGTTCAATGTGTTTTCGGTGAATATTTTATTGATGCGAAATATTACTGATAACGCACTTGATCTGCGTACATTTAGTTTAAGCCGAGCCAATTAAATGAAACTTCGAGGATGGTTAGTTCTCACTTGGTTTGGCGAATACCCGTAGAGACTTGGAGATACAGCAAAATTAGCGCAGTAAAGTTAGCAGGTTAGGTTAGGTTATATTGGCTGGCTGTTACGACAGATGTAGACCCACCGATCCTCTGTAACGCAAAATGGAGATCCAGTTTAACTAATTCGAGCTGAAGTAATCTTCATACCGAATTTCAAAGCTTTTTGCACTCTTTAAAAAAAAATACTTTTTTTTTTATACAGTCCTTTGAACCGTGAAGCTCGACTTTTATATAAGGCCGGATATAATCAGAAAGGTGCTCCAGCGGCTCTCTTCTGTCTACATCTCTACCCTTTCTGCACATATCATCGTTACTAATGCCCTCCGGTTCGCATGTGATGCCAGTAAGTTGAGACCTGTCATTTTGCCAACAACCGTCCTGAAATCTTTTTGAGACCGTGTGCACATGATCTCATGATCTTGGCGTTCTTGCATGCCCTTAAGGTATTTCATCTCACCCCTATCTGTCGGCTTGACTTAAGCAAATTTCATTGTATATCGTTATTAGCGACTTGTACTAGCTCGGCACCCAGACGGATAGTATTTTTGACAATCTCATTAGCTATTTAGTTTCCTCAAAACACCCCTTTATGACCTGGAACTCAGAATATATAGATCTAAGTATAATTTCCGTATTTTTGCTTTAAAAATATGTCTCTTAATTTATTAAACCTCCATTAAATCCAACAATCGACACTTTATTATACACAATGAAAGTGATTTTATATTTAGGTAGTTGTGCCCATCGCGATCATGCTACCTAATGGACTACCATTCAGTATGTAAATATCGAACGCCCAACATGCTTGGTGGCCTACATTAGCCCACTTGCTTGATTACAATGCGAGTGCCACCAGCTTTTAGAGAAAAAATTCTTCAATTGCAATTCATGGCTACAACACCAACTAAGTACTGCCAATTGTAATTTGCCCTCGAGGCGAAACTTTAAGTAGTCGACGGCGTTGTAACTTGCCGCACATGTTGCCCAAAAGTGAGACGGTCCAAGCCATCAACTTGTGAACACGTGCGCGCCAAACGAATTGAAAGACATCGCCTATACACAACTACATCTGTAAGTGCGTGTACACGAGTATAAAACTAGCTTCTTTGGAGCAAACACAATTGACGGAGGGGAGACATGCAACCGGCAGCCGCCGGCGAAGTGTCAAAAGTGCCGACAAAAGTGGAAAATCGTGCAATCAATGCTGCAAATGCAATCGAAATGGAAAAGTAACAGTGAAGTGTCAGTTTGTTGGCGTACAATGGCAGCGCTGGTAGAGCGTGCGGGCGAAAACAGTTAGCAAGCGATAGTTAAAAGTGCCGGTAACAGTAAAAGAGCCAAATGTACTTGCACGTACAGCTCGTAGAGTTTGAGTCACTTGACAATTTATCGGCCAATCTGCAGGCACTTCCACAAACTGCGAATTAGTTATATATACAATATATATGTATGTACATATATAACTGCGAAGCGAAGGTGTGCAAAAGTAACGAAATAACGAAGACACAAGCTCACACTCTGCTACGCCCAAAACGCCCAACAAATGGGCAAATAAAAAACTCAACAAAACAAACAATCAAGCCAGCTGCAATGAAATAAACGCGGCAATTGCACCGGCGGGATTACAGGCGACTGATAAGCGCTCCAGCAGTTAGCCGATATCAATAGATAAAAGTCAGGTTTTGCGCCAAGTGTAGCAACATTGTAGCTCACCTGCAAGAGCGCAACACACCGATCGGCTCGTTGTTGCCTGCCAATGCCACTTGACTACTCCAGACCGCCTATTGCAAATGGCAATGTCAGCCTTGACAGCTGCGCTACCTTGCAGAGCTGCAAAACAGATTGCCGATTTTATTGATCGGCGCAACTTATCTATGAGATACTTTTACCAATTTCGGTTAGACAGCACGACGGCTTAGTTGGATTGCTTGTATGAGCTACCACTAGCCTTAACCGCAACCACTAGGCGCAAAAGCTCACCACACCAAGCGCATGTAAATATATATCTGAGTGTGTGTGTGTGTGCGTGTTGCTAAAGCGCAATTCAACGATCGTTTGTCGATTCAAATCGATCAAGTTATGAATGCCCAAAAGCGCCGGCCGGCTTCAAGACACACACTGGGGTAAGCGGCAAAAAAAAAAGCGCCAGCAACTTGTTTTGACGTTTCATTGTGCTGCGTTTTTTATTGTTGGCGGTTTATGTTATTTCTTATTTCTCACTTGTCGCACTTGCTGCAGCTATTCAACTGCCTAGCAGCTTGTGTGCTGCTATCATTGACGCTGTCAGTGGCGGCGATTTGACTTTGGTTGTTGACTGTCGAGTGTCGTTGGTATTTGAGGCATTGCGTCGCGCTGATGACTTACGTTGCTGTCTCACGGATGGATGTTTTTGCGCAGCTTCTGAACTGGTTTGGCAATTTACTCACAATTGTGTGTCTCAATGTTTATATAGACATACATGTATATATACATACTTGCTCATACACGCATATCTTTTTTGTGCGAATTTCATATCGCCTGATCTAGCCTAATGAAGATCGTGACTAAATTGGTGCTCTTGAAATTGACATTAAAGTAATGGCGTTAAACTCACTCGTATATTTCTCTTTTTGTTAAAATTATTCATGGTTAAACGATTATAGCTTAATGTACGAAATAACTGTGCTTTCTAATATTTAATTTTATCTTGCTTAGACTACTTATTTTTCAGAGATATAAATGTGAGGACTATAAGAATGACACAAAGAGTTCAAAAAGAGATACATATGTTTTATTAGAGTCAAAGAACTTTCCGTGTGAATTTTAAATAGAATAGAAGTGGTTTTCAAAAGTTCATAGTATTTTTGAAAAATTCCACATTTACGATATAACGGATGCAGTAAATACTCTTGTCTTATTAAAAATTTATCAAAATCTGTAAAACATGTTTAAGAAAAAATTTTACGAAGAAAAAAAGATACAACCTACGACTGGGACGTAAATTACGTAATATTGTATTTCATTGTTCGGATGACAAATCTTTACATATTGCGAAAATAAAGTACGATTTTATAATGGGAGTTAAATGTTTAATAAAATATAACAGTAAAAATGCGCATAAGAATATAGAGTAAATATAATATGGCAACAATTTTACTTTGGTAATTATGTCTCGTGGATATAAAATTTAATTTACGTTAAAATTAATTGAATTAATTACCAATTAATTGAATTATTTCCATGAAGTATTTTTCTTTACCACAGTGAATTTACAATTATTCACTTACCTTTTAAATGGTGAAAAGGCCGAGACGTATTTCCTTTTTAAGCACAGATGTCAGCTAATCAAATTCTATAACGAAAAACAAGGAAGAAAAAGTTTCAGTAATAGATTAAATAACGTTATAAAACATATTTATAATTTAGTCATATTAATTCCTTATGTTCCGTTTATCAGTTTTTATTCTTTAACTCTGCTCGAGTTAAATGGCTCCGATTACGTCGACTTCTATCAGTATAAATTTACTTAATTTTTAAATTTAAGTATAAATTTTATTAAACACCGTAAAAAATAAAACACACAATCAAATGAAACAAATTTTAAATTAAGGTGTTATATCCATTTTTATGTTTTTTTAAATCGTAAAGTCGTTTGCATATATGGAATGCACATATATTAAAATAATCTACGAAAATTTGAAGTTGATCCGGCAAAGAGTTTCGAAGATATGAGCGTATTTGTGAGAATTCTTCAACTTGCTGTAATCGGCTCCTAAAATTTAAACGCGTTTTAACGAAAGGCTTTTTTCAATGTCGGTGAGGAAAATTTCTGCGAAACTGCTGGACCGATTGACTTCAAATTTCATACGACAATATATTATTAATTAATAACAATATAGTTGTCTGATAATGATCGAAGAAATAAGATTTTTTCACAAAAACGATTTTTTTGTGGAACCGGCAATTTTCTCAATAATCTAAATTTGGACTAATCTTTCGATTATTTTTATTCATTGTTATAATAATTTTTTTTTTTTTTTTGTTTTAGTATTCGAGAATTATTTAAGTAGAAACATCTAGCTCACTGCCAGAAACCTTTTGAATTTGACCCCTTAGTGGATGAAAATTAATGGCATACTTCTTTCGCTAATTCGTATTTCAAATCAAGAGAATGAAAATCAATTAACCGTGGGCCAATTGAATTTTGGAACTCATTAATATGTACATGTTCAGATTTTTATTATATTGACAAAACGAAAAATTTCAGTTTGCACACTTAAATACAGTAATGTAATATATAAATGTACGTATCAGTTAAATGTCATAAATATAAACATGAATTACGTTATATTATACTTCTCTGAGAGCTGTCAATAAAACGTACAAATTTTACCTAGAAAAGTCTAATAAATGAATGACTTTAAGGAAATCGGCCTAAGCTTTCATACCTGTTAATAATGTATACAGGTGTATGTAAAAAAATAAAAAAAAAATTTTTTTTGGCTTAGCCTGGGTGTAAATCTGTAGATTTTCAATAAAGAACATTTTTGGCACTTAGTTGCAAAGTAAATTTTCGAGTTAAAATTTTTAATTTGTAAAAAAAAGTGTTCTAGAAGCTGTGGAGAGTCCTCTTTCTGGCCAATTAAAACTTATCAGCCTTAAAAATTTTTTTGTAGTCATTATTGCAGTTAAAAAAATTGTCTTAAATGACCACATGCTTTCCTTAAGCGTTTACATAAATTTTCAGTCAAAAACCGTCAAATTCGTTATATATTATATAAACGTGAAGAGTTAAACCAAAAATTATTATTTTTTGTCCAAAAAAATTTTAACTCGAAATTTACTTTGAAACTGAGCATCTAGGTGTTAAAATTTTTTTTTTTTTGCCAAAAATTTCCTTTTTTTAAAATCTACAGATTTTACCAGGCTAAGCCACAAAAAAAAAATTTCGCTCCAACCTAATGTACATACCAGTATGTGCTGTGCCTTTGGCTTATTTGGCCAATACAAGTACTATTCATTGACTAAAATTATCAAATAAAAAATATTAACGCATTTACAACTTAATTTGTATTCATATGCAGAACCAATATCAGAACTTAGTTCGCTGGAAACACGTATGTATGTATGTTCGTTGGTGTGTAGAAGTGCATTTCTATGTATATATGCTTTAAGTGAAAGCCAATTCTATTCTAGCAAAGCAATTAAATAGAATATGAAAATGTACACCGTGTACTGGGAAACACATACATAACAACCTACTAAGGCAGGCGGGAATTTACGAAGCTATGCAAGAAAACATGGAATAATTACATATGAGTACAGGTAAGGCACGTGATTGCATTTAAATGCATGGAAATTAATATTTCATATTAATTCTGGATATGCAGTGCAGACAAAAGAGAAAAATGTGTATGTAAATGTGTTTAATAAAGCAAAACAACCATTTTCCAATGCAATTGCTGTAATATCTATAGGGCTAGGCATATAAAGGCAATTACACAAATAAGTTTGAAATGTAAAATTTTAAATTATACATATATTTACAACATTAGAATAATAAATTTCAGAGGCACTTTCACCTAGCGTGAAATTGAAAAAAAAAATCGATTTTTTCATAATTCGATAGGTTATATCTTCGAAAACAACATATTAATATTTTAAATGGATATTTAAAATAGTTTTTGAGTAGCAGTTTTCTAAAGTATAGCCGCACAGCTCAATTAACTTATTTAGTTTATCTTTCATTTCGATCATTATCAAATTTTTTCTGCATGTTTTGTAATAGTCTTTTGACCTACTAAACTTTTGATCTGATCAATTTTGCAGGCCAAAAACGATCAAAATTTGAGATAAAATTCCATTTGCATTTCAAACGCCACCATTTTGTAAATTTTTGATTTTGTTTTCGACGTTGTAGGTCATTGTACGCACAATGTCTTCTAGTGGAGAATTTTTTATTTTTTGGGATTCATCCCCAAGAAGGCCGGAACCGAGGGGATAGAGGGTAACTTTTTATCTCTAACTGAAGTGTTTAAGTTTTTTTTTTTCAAAAACTGATTGTATGTTCTTAAAATATGTATAAATAATCCCCTATACTTTTAAAACCATTGGCAAAGTAGTTTTTCTTTTCCACAAATATCGATTGGCACACTAGGGACCACCCTTAAAATATAATGGCAACATATTAAAATTCAAAATTTCATTTGAAATATAATATTTTTCCCTTCATTTATTCATTATATCATATACAAAAAATATGGGCAAGATTTTAATATCTAGCTTTCAGCCACTTGCAACATTTTGCTTCATTAAAAGCTAAATAAAAACAGAAATTATTATTGTATATAATATTCGCATTTTTAGTTTCATTTTATTTTTTACTGTTTTTTTTTTATAGCACTGATGACTGTGGGAAAAATGTTCGTGAATATCGCCAATATAAAAATTTAATGCACACATGTGAGTGAATTTGCATGCAAAGAATGGCAGAAATAATTGAATTAAAACAGAAATATGCCAATGGAATGAAACAATAATTTGCTATGATCACTTATATTGCTACTCGTATGTGCAATGTATGTATGAGTGTACATAGTATGGCAACAGGCAGCGCATAAATGCTTTGCGTAATTGTGGCGTAAAAACGCAGTTAATGTTGCAACTCAATGCAAGAGAAATAAAAACCAAGAAATAAGAAAACGCAACCGCAAGTAAAACGTAATACATATGCGGTATGCACACGTCAGTGGAAATTTTTTCATCAATTTGAAAAAAAGGAAAACAAAAATGTTTCTTGAATATTATTTGGTTCAACTGACGAGACCAATAATTCTCAATTTAAATTTAAATTTTTAATTTAATTTAATTTAAATAAATTTTTTTTTTTGTAGTATTTCGATAGTTTATATATTAAAAAAAACTCTCTAGAATTAACTATTTGCAAATTTATGTATATTTTTAATCTTACAGAAAGTAAAATAGCTGATTATTGGTTCATACAATATTTATACTTATCAAGAATCCGTCGTTGTTTTAGTTGTCAGATGATCCCAAGGAAATAAATCATTATGATGAGGACGCGACGTGTTTTTTTTTTGCTTCCTGTATTTCAAGAGCTAATAACTTCATGTATTTTTTTTTGGTTAATATGTGTGCTCTTGAGATATGAAAAAGTAAATGATAAAAACAATAATATTAAATATATCGATTTTTTTATCATGCCTATCGTAATTCGGGCCTCTAGACTAGAATACCTCCTTAAAAACAGATTTATTTACTTACATGCGAGCTATGGCACAATATTTAATATTTGCTAAAATTCTTAATTGAAGTCAACTAATCTCCATGAGTTATCACATTTCTAGTATATATGTTATGCATTTATTTTTACATTTAAAGCAATTTTTTATATATAATTTATATAAATTTGTTTAAAATTTATATTATTTTTTGCTGCACTTTGGCATATGCAATAATTACAAATTTTATTACGTGTGCTGCTGCTGCTGGTGTTAGTAGCGATTGTGGGTCAATTAAAGCACATCTTCGCGTTATGCACATGCGCAACTGCCATTAGACACAATAAATAGGCAAGCGCAAGTGTTTTGCAATCGGAACACAAAGTGAAATACAAAAATATTATACATATGGACACAGCTACAATAATATGTGTAAATACATAACATACAAGAAAATATGAGAGGGTATAAAAATTCGACAGTCATAAGTAATCGCATACAACTTAGGGCACACCAGCGTCTGACAGAGGATTTAATAAAGTTTGTTAAACTACAATTTTCAGTTAAAATTCGTAAAGAAATTGACTGAAATGGCAACTCATGCATCGTTGGCTATTCTAGTTGCAGTTATGGCTGTCTGTATGTATGTAGTTCGCGCACTAAGTTAGCGTTTAAATTGTCTAATCAGCGTTTGAGCGCTTTTTCCACCAATTCAGGCATTTTGGCACATGTCACTTTCTTGTTGTTATTACTGTTTTTATGTTTACGGTTTTATTAGCAACTCTGCAATATCGGCGCGTGGTATACACTGCTCGTCTTTGACGTCTCCGCCGTTGAGGTCAACACACTCACATTGGCTGCCAAGTCAAACGACACCGATTTCCTCTGGTAGTCCGCTGGCGAAGCCGCCGTGTGCCGTTAGTGCTTCATTTTAAACGCTTGTTTTTACTACTTTCGGCAAAGAAAAATGATTTTTGTAATTGTGAAACGATTAAACGATTTCGTCAGCAATTGATGGATGGCAGCGATGTGTTGTTGTTTTTCCTTTGTTAATTTTCCGTTTTTCCGCTGAAGTGCAACCGTCGTAACATGATTTACTTAATTGCTGGCA